CCACTCCTGACATCCTGGGATGCTGTGATTTTCTCCCATTAGACAGAAATTCATAAGAAGGGATCAGATTTTCTGAGCTCGGCATCATGCTGAGATCTGCAGTGACAAAACGCAGGGAAATAAGTCAAGAATCTTAACAAGAAGTTACAAACAGATTTTCCACAAATCCTGACCAAGAGTGCCAAGTTCACAGTTGATAAAAGTCTATGGTGTATTATGAGATACTGTAACGAAGGGCTCGATGTGCACGCAGAGGCACTGCTATGCTTTTCTTTGCAGGAGAAGATGATGAAGCACATCAAGAGAAAGAAATCACTGCAGGCTTCTGCTCCTGCCAACATCCTGAGTCAGCTCGAAACATCTTTCATTAACGAACAGGTAAAGGGCTGATCTCCAGCAATGTTAATGTATCAGGCAGAAGCAAACTGAGATGTATTTGTTTAAAGGGCTGTAAGACTTTTGTTTTAGTGAAGTGAATGGTTCTAAGAGACTACCTTAGAAAATATGAATGGAGAACAGAGAGAGAGAGAGAGGTACTTAATGGTTGTGTATTACCCTGACATTTCATTTTGAATTTTAATAGGAATGGCAATATCAGTGTTCAGTCACAGCTATTTTTGAAATGCACCCAGCCTGTTTATGCATTCTGCGTACACAGCGAATATTCTGATTTAGCCAGATATTTTAATGTCGGTTTTAATGCTTTAACTTTACGTTGCAGTTGCTCTAGATACCATGGCTGGGTTTTTCGGGGTTTGTTTCTTCAGAGAGAACCGTATTCAGGAAGCAACTTCCTGTGCAGTGAGAGCAGCAGCGATGATGAAGAGCCCTTATTCCACCTGTCCAAGGTAGAGCTGTGTGCCAAAATAAAGAGCCTCAAGAGGAGGCTGGCAGACACCATGAGAGAAAACTGCCGCCTGAGGCAGTCGCTGGTGATGCTTCAAGGTAAAGGGGGAACGAAGCGTTTCAATGGAGAGGAAAATCTTGATTTATCCGAGGCTGTTCGGGTGGGAATTACGGCTGCTCAAGCACCTGCCACCAGCAAGGCCACTGTTAACATCAGGCTGTGATACATGGCCACGTTTAACTCCAGCAGAGCTGGGAAAGCTGCTTTAGAGGGAGGCCGTGCAGTCCTGGAGTTAGGAGTGGAAAATCTGCCCAAATCCCATCAGCTGTGCCCCACAGAGCGTTCCCGTGTGCTGGGTACCACCACGGGGTGAGCTCGAGCACTCTGGCCAGCCCAATTACCCTTGCGTATTAGCAGTCTGTCTTGATCAACTGAAATGTTCTTTATTCTGGAATAATTTAACTTCTAATTGTTTTGGTAATTCCCAGTTATCAATGATCTGAGTTAGTTCCAGGTGCAACAAATGTAGTCCTTGCATGGACGTGACCCATTCTGTTATCTTATAAATGACTCCTCCATCGCTCAGTGGCCATCTCTGAAACCCCCATTGCTTGTCCCTGTCCCTCAATCTGGAGCTGCCAAAGCTGAATCCACAATTTCAAAGCATCAGTGAATGAGTACGATTTAAAGAGGATTTGCTCCTCGCCCTGCCAGCTGCATCACACCATCCCCAGGCAGCTTTATCTCTTTTCTTTCTATACCATCATACGATTTTACAAGTGCTTATCAGCTTCATTGCCCGCCCTGTTCTATTCCATGTTATTCATCTTGGTTTGAATCATTAATTTCAACTTTTAAAATATTATTCTAAACATCTTGTTAGTGTCTGACAACTTTTCTTACACATTCAAGTCCATTTACCTTCCAAGCACTTTTATTACTTGCAGAAGGGGCCATTTGATATTCTCTATAGATTAAAAAGAGGATTTAAAAGTCTATGCAGTCTTTAAAGCAAAAACTAAATCTGTACAAAATCCAAATCTGTACAGTCTGTACAAAACTGAGCCCTGGGGCTCGGTTTTGGGGCCAGTCCTGT